TATTCGTTTGACATCACTGTTCTTCCCTTTTTTTGTATTTTTGATAACAAACATAATAATAAAAAGTGTTCATTGTGGTAAACGAAATAACAATTTGATCTAAGTAAGTTTGTTTCTCTTCCCGATTTGTAAAAAATCCTTACGTGATAGAAAAAATTAATTTTCGAAATCTGCGTAGCTGAATTATGGAAAATTCGTTATCAAAACCAAAACAACTTTTATGAAGTTTAAATTCGCAGGCCTGTGTTATCGAAGCTCTATCCCTGGTTTCAAACATAGGTCAAACGTTGTATTGCCATTTACAGTTGTGTTTCAAACATTAAGTTCACGAAGTTTTCATTTAATATTACATTTCTATTTCGTGATGTGTTAGGCATTTTTTAGACTGTTTCTTTTCCGCGACATCTTAGTTGATTTGCATTTACATTCACTATGATGTCGAAAATGCCACTTCTACATATTGAACCAATAGTAACAATCAGACATTAATTACATAAGCTTGTTGTCACCCCCCCCCCGCCCATTTATATTGTCCTTCCCAAGTCAGTTTAGTTTTTATATTTCTATGACTTGTTATTTACCGTAAAAAAAGTATACCTATATTACTGTGTGGCATTCACTTAAATAAACTGGACCTTATTGTAAATACTTCAGAATAGTTTCTTAAATTTTAGAGAATATAACTTTTTAACTATTCGTAAGTGGACCAGTGATTTGTGTGCTGGACAGTGGATTAGAAGTTCCATAGTTTGCGTCCCGTTACACATCCAGTTGCTACAAAATCGCAGTCCGCGCAATGTGGTCGTGGGTACGTCATAACAGTGACGGTCAAATCCTACTATTCGGTCTTCAAAGTGTTGACAACAGGTGATTGTTTACCAGATACCCTCTCTCCATTATTTATAAATTATAGAAGTACACAACTTGGAGCGAAATGCAACAAAACAAACAAATCACTTACAAGCCAATCCACGTGAATCTATTGTTACTCATCAACCCTATCCTACCTTCCCTAATTGTATAAACTCGCTAATATACCGTGCATGACTAATGAAGTTTTACAAACAAAAACACAAGGATTTGGTATATTTAGTTAACAAATTAAAAGTACAGGCAACAACGAGAAGTTTAAAATAATGGATCATAATATTAAAGATGAACTATTTTAGATCCGTGGTTCTAACTTTGTTGTTTGATTAAGTTTCAAAACATAAATGAGTTATTCGTGATCTCCTGCTGCAAAAACTCTCTCCGCCCTTTGTAGTTGCGCTATAAAAGTAATGGACAAATTTCATTTTTCGGAACAGTAGTCTAAGAATTGTCGAAAGTTATAGTCTGTCATTTCAAAGTTAGGGACAGTTATGCACAGATAGCTTGTGCAATTTTGCGAACAATTCTGAAATGAAACTTAATTACATAATGCCTGCCCACGGTCCACATCATAAACCAAGTACAGACTTCTAAAAGAAGTATCAAAGATGAAATATTCAATTTAAACCAAGTTATTCGACATGTATATAATATCGATAAGGGGATATATATATATATATATAGAAACCGAACAACAACAAATATACACTCAAATACATTCCCCCTCTTTGTGTTTTTCCGTTCATGCTCCTATCTTCGAAATATTTCTTTCAATCACTTGACGGAGGAAATGGTTTTTTTTTATCGTGACATTCCCTCACCCAAAATTAAACATTTTTGTTCTTAGTAATTTTTTTTTCAGATGACGTAAGAAGACTGGCGGATCGACGTGAAATTGTAAAAATTGCAAAAAAAATCCTGTAATGTACTCTTGAAGAAAAACATTTTGCTATTTAATTTTTTTCCATAATTAACCATTCAGGAGATACAGTGCGTGACAGACAGACAGACACTTGACTGTTATATATATATATCAATTCTTTGCCCTTCCTTTGACTAATATTTTCCACTTTCTGATTAAAAGTGAATTACTTTTTTCAGTGCCGTTTCTTGTTTTGAAGCGCAGAAAGCAAATGTAGAACACTGTTGGAGTTGTGTAAATAGTATCTTAATAGGAATCGCTGGTTGATTAGTCCTTTAGTTCAGTTGGTAATACACTTGTTTGTTGTGTTTTCAAATCTTGCACGCAAAAATTGAAATTACCACAAGTATAATTGTCAGAAAACTGGAGTTTGTCCCTTGACGTTAAGGTCCAAGAGCGGACCTTGGTGGGAGTGAAAGAAAAAATTTTCCTAAAGTATCTTAACCCTTTAGTTAGAGCACTTGCATGTAGCGCGAGGGATATCGGGTTCAAATTCTGAATAGGGGAAACGTAAATATTTAAATTACCACTGGAAACATCAGATTACTATTACTTACTATTGTAAGTGAAAAGATGCTTCAAGTGAAATAAATGCCGTAAATATGACCATGCCACGATGAGATATCCATTGAAATGAATTTATGAAGGTTTTTTTTTTGTTTGAAGTTAAGTACAAAGCTACACAATGGGCTATCTGCTCTCTGCCCACCACGGTTATCAAAACACGGTTTCGCGCTGTAAGTTCGCAGACGTTACGCTTTGCCACTGGGGGGCAATTTATGAAGGAATAGAGGACAGAGAGTTTTCACAAACATACAAATAGAAGTAAAAAAAAACGCTTCTTCTGCTTCGAAAACAAAAATTGCTGTTGTCAAATTTTAATAAAGCTCATCTATTCCACTAACAAAAGCCCCTCAGTGGCACACCGGTATGTCTGTGGACTTACATTAGAAACCTGGTTTCAACACCCGTGGTGGACAGAGCACAGATAGCCTTTGCGCTTAACTACAAACAAACAAACCCTTGAAAAGGTCATATATTCTCTGTTGCTGTTACAACGACGATGGCCCCAGAAACCCACCAAAATAACTCAACCAGCTTAGAAGTTGTAATGAAAATCATTTTCAGGTTTTGGATTTTTTACAATCAAAAGTGTAAAATTAGTATGAATTTGATGTTATGAAAAGTTATCACCGAATGTTAAGGGTTTTGGCCTGGTTAAGTCGCGAAATTAAAGGTTAAAATACAAACATTTTGTTACGGGTGGGTGAGAAAACTTGCTCTTGATTGACTATCGTAATTTATCCAAACAAAGAACTGAACCACCTAGGCGATTTCATTACACCTTTTTATTAAATTTCGCGCAAAGCTACTCCTGAGATGTCTGCGTTAGCAGTTCCTAATTTTAACATGAGTGACTAAATAAATGGCAGCTAATCCACACTACCCACCGCCAACACTTTGCCAAGCAATAGTGAAATTGACAGTCGCATTATAACGTTCTCACGATTGATAGAGCGAATTTGTTCCTTGAAGAGTTTCGAACTTGCGACACGCATATTGCAAGTTAAGCGTCCTAACCACCAAGACCGATTTTGTTATACCTCCCACTATCTATTTCGTTACATCACTATGTTTATTTTATTGAAATTGGGGTGGGTGCCCTGTGCAGGGGCACACGACGCTCACCCCAAGAACCGGCCCTAGCCCAGTGTTTGTTTGGCTAATTAAATTTCACGCAAAGCGACTGAAGGGCTATCGGCATTAGCAGTCCCTAATTTCAACGTGATGGACTAGATACAAGATAGCTAGTCATCACCACCAACTCTTTTACAAACGAATAGTGGGATTGAACGTGACATTATAACGCCCCCACGGCGAGCATATTTGGTGACAGGATTCGAACCCGAGACATGTAGATCGCGAGTCATGTGCCCTAACCACCAGGCCCCCAGTGGTTGGTAACTGCGACTCTAGACTCTCCGAAAAATTAAAGGTGCAATATTTTGTTAAACTGCTTGTCAATTAAATTACCACATTGCCTCTAATTAACGCCCCCCCCCCGGTATTTTTTATAAAGTTTACCTTAGGTGACAGCAATAGTAATCCAACATATAATCCATTTATTCCTGTAATTTTAATTTGAAAAAGAAAGAAAACAAACACACACACATTAGCATTGAAATCAACAAATCACTTATGAAAAAAATAATCCACTGCACAGTTACTATAATTAGCGCCCTCTCCCTTCAGTTTGCAACGCCCCTGGTGCGTTAATTATGGGTAATACGGTATAACATACACACCCGATTTTTTAAAAACTATTTATTCTAGATGTTTTTCGTTTTTTTAATAAACACAAAGCTGCACAATGGGCTATCCATACTGTACCCACTGTAAATATATGAACCCAATTTTTAGCGTTATAAGTCCCAATAAAACAGATATCAAATAGCAAAATCGTAAGTCCAAGTTAAACTCAATATTATTACAATCTTCGGAACGCAAACATAAATTACAATGAATGTATAACAAACACATCATATACGAGATGCTTACAATGATATCAATCCACTTACAGTACGTATTTCACATAACTTAAGAAATAAACTTTAGAAGACGTTTTCTTCGGGTTTGAATTCAGTTTATTTTCCAAAACTACATTATGACACATTGGCATTACGTCAAATCACCACATTTTCAGGTAAATATTGTAAGTAATTTGCTGATACGTAGTGTACATATAGACTGCATGTTAGATATGTAAATAACACTATAAGTGATAGTTCTAACAGCTTGCTGGCATGCGTGGTCTCTCGTTTAAGATAGCAAGTGGTTAACATTTCAGTAACAAGAAGTTGTTTGATCATGTTTAAATTTTTCCCTTAGGTATTTAATAAAGTGTTTTTCACATACATACGTCATTTTGCGATTGCATAGGTATCTTCTTAATCAACTGTATATATTTGATAGTATATGTATATATTACATGACACTACAACATTACATTTATTTTACGTTGTGTAGGGCTATATGAAACACCAACCTGAGAACTTTCAATAAATTACTGATAGATGTATATATAAATGAAACATGATAGTAACTAAGTCGTTAACAAGAACAAAATAACGTATAGTTTTGTAAAAAATACCATACCCGTTTAACGTTGAACCTATGTCGGTTTTTATTACAAAATCAAGCTATAAATATATATTATAGTATATGTGAAATAAGCAATTTTGTACAAATACTTAGGCCTGTAAATGCTCAACATGACGAGTGCAAAGTTTAAAATGAGTGCAATGAACAGTTAGTGAAAAATGTCACGTAACAAACAAACCATAAACGTTCATTTAATTCTTCCGTTAACAATAACACCATTCACTTTTACGGAAATAAAAAGCTAAACGTCGTTATCCTGAAATCAATCAATTAACACTGACAATTCGTTTTATAATAGGTGTATTGTAGTTAAGCGGTCAAGAAACCACCACACAACCTACATCTAACATCTTCCACCAGCAAGTCCTTCATAGCAACGACTAATATCAATTCACAATTAATATGTAGTAACTTTCACCTGTTTCTCAATAAAACAAAGTATACGAGCTTGTTATTAGCTACATACAAGAAGAGAGAAAAAAAGAACGAAAAAAATCTGGAATAAAATGAGCTCTGGGTATAACGATACTTAACTAAAAGGCTTCACTTTTTAACAGTGCATTATTTCTAGTTGCGAACGGTCTGCAAATAAGTTTTCTTCTCTTTTGTACCAAAACTTCCATTTTATCCCACTGGCTAATAGCTAACCTACAGCTAGAACAGACTTTCAATAGCACAATGTAATTTAGACGTTCAGTATAACTAATGTATTAATAACCATGAAAATCGAGTTTGATATCTAGGGATAAGATTTTGTTAGAAATTTATTTTTTTAACTAAAAATTAAAACCAAAAAATAAGAGTTAGAACCAACATCAAATACATTAGTTAATACCTTTTGCCAAGTGGTAAAAAATGAAGACTGGTACTACTTATACAGAATATAAAAGTTTGATGAATCAGACGAAATGCAAATTTCAAAAAGCTTCCAACTGACAAAGAAAAAATGTGTTGGGAAGGGTCAAAGTGAAAGATTATAAAAATAAATTAATGAAAAAAATCGAATTAATAATTCTTTCTTTTTCTGAAATTCTATTTATACAAGCTGGAAAGGAAGATTATATCCTGCTAGTGTAAAGGCTAATTTTAATCATTTTAAGACTAACTTTAATCATTTTTGAAAAAAAAAAATTCTCGATACTTGCACTTCAAGTGAAAACACAATATAAATTTTGTAATTTTACAAAGACATTTTTTGGATGTCTAGACATTGATATTAACTATAAGGAATGAAAAACAACCATTCCTACACAGTGGTTATTAATCACAAAAAAGAAAAATGTTTTTGCTCTATATGCAACAAGTGATATTTCAACATGTGTACTTATAGATTATATAATGCCACATACACATTTTAAGCATTTTTTCAAAGATCTTCATACCAAAGAATCTGCTTTCCAGATACCTTTGTTTTCCCAGTTATTAAAATATAGCTAGTCAAGATTGAAAAGAAAAAAATGAAACATTTAAAAATTATTACCAGTTAACTATACTTAAAAGTTCATAATAACAACTGAAGTTTCCTGAATTTTTATCCCTAACCTAGAGTGTACATATCTCTACACTGTATATATATATATATATAAAACAATTGAGTGAACCAATCATACAATTTGTATAGAATCAGAGATTGAATACATTGTAATTATGCTAGTTATTCAGTACATGACAACAAACTTTTCATTTTAAATATTCTCTTTGAAACTTAATTCATCAATTCATATAAATATTTAACAAAACTAAATCAAATCTACTGTAACAGACATTGAAAATAAACAGTACAATTATATACACAAACGTTACTAATTTCCTCAGTGTATTATATACAAGAATATGAGTTTCATTCAACCCTACTGGTGTTATTTAATATTGGAATGAAATCATCAAATGGCAAGCAACATTTTAAATTTGAAATCATATATATATATATATATATTAAGAATATTCCTCTCTACAATTCATTCAATTTTAGACCTAATTAATTATGTTTCACTGGATTTTTTCTCTCCCACAATAGTTAATCTTCTTGAAACTACACATAACTTGAAAAAATTATCATATAATGGTAACACATTTCTTTACAAGAATGTCCCCATGTTTTACTTAAATCCTCCAAGAGTTAATGAAACACTTTCTACTGCATGTCCTAATGTATACAATGTATTTAACTTCATGATAACTGCATAACTTGGTAGGTTTATTCCTGATCATCTCACATGGAAATCTATCAAAACACTGGGGAGTAACCTAAAAAAATTTCATTTCACAACCAAATGTATTACCTCAGCTTTATGTGAACTCTAGAAGTAAAATAATTTTTTTTACAAAAAAAAAGAAGTAAAACAAACCACAAAGGATAAAAACTATACTGCTGACTACAAGGATGAAACACTGTAATAGTCAACTTTCAATACAATTTATTCTTTTCATTTGTTATCAATTAGCGTGGATCTGCAAAATAACTTAGTATTCATTGTTTTTATTATTCAACTTAGATATTTCCCAATGATAGAGGGTTGATCATAAAGCTTCCACTCATTTCCTCCAGTAGATGGAGCTGAAGAAGCTATGACCAACAACTGATAACTTCAAGCATGAGAATAACTCAAAAACTCCGGGTATTGGAACTGTAAATTGCTGGGTTACTCAAGTTCACTCCTTTTTAACTAGTTAATTGGTAACACACACACACACACCAACAGCTTTCAACAAACAATTGTTTCTGAACAATAACACTAAAAAAAAGTAATAGAAAATAGGTTGAAATCATGAAAAATAGACATTTGAAATTCCACAGGATATCAAAATACACAAGTTTGTAACTGAAGAACATCAAGGAAAAAAATAGTTAAGAACTGTTTTGTACTACAAAACCTCCAATGGGGTAAGAAGAGATGTTGGATTTTCTTGGAAAAAAATTCTTTACAATTAAGTGAAATGCATTCATAGTCTAATTAAATTTAATTTCTTTAGAGATTCTTAAATGTGTTACATCTCAATTATAATGTACATGAATTAACCTAAAATCATTTTTAACGTGCATAAAAATGACATTACAGGGAAACTGTTCCTGTCATCAGATGAAACCAGTCCCATGATAAATAATTATCTGAGTATGTAAGGCACAAACTTTCACTGAGCAACAAAATTATAGTTTGACTTACATACTTCAGTGTTTTATATTTATATAACTGTAGCTATGTAAGCTTTTAAAAAGCAAAAAAGTGAAAACTGCAAAAATCATACAGCTTTTGTGCTTGGAAAATAAAATCTCATTTATATAAATTTAGTTATGGAAAAACAAACAAAAGCTCCAATGAACTAAACAATGGATTAAAAAAGGAAAGAAATGCTAACCTCAAAGAAGACCACTTCACAACAAACTTCATAAAACAAAGAGTTGACAATAGTAAGACGGCTAATAATTACAAATAATACTTTGCTACCAAAAGTCAAAAGAATTTGAAATAATAATGCAGTTTAGCAAAATGTAAATAGAAAAAGATACTAATAAACAGAGGATAAAATAGGGACTAATGTGGAAAAACTCAAATGATCAGTAACTGAAATTACCAACAATGTCATGAATGGTCATAATTCAAGTAAAAGAATAACAAAGATAGTTGAAAAATGAGACGTCACAGAAAAAAAGAAAGAGAACGAGGGTAAGAGAGACTTAAATTCACAAGAAAATTGAAAAGTACGGATGTAGTAGTCTGTCATGTTTATTTTTTTAGCTAAAGCCAAAATTAATTACTATGATGTTGTTGTACCATAATTTTTTGTTTTATTTTTGTAAACATTGTCATGTTAAGGTTCACATGTACAGAACACTAAGAAGATAAGATATATGTATATATCTTATCTAAAAGACAGGTATAAAGACAAAGAAAGTAAAAAAAACAAGAATAAAAAATCATGTGGTTACCACATATCAAAGGCAGATGTTAATAACCAAAATAATCAAGAAATGTATTTCCATATTACAAGTGAATTATAAGTCACAGCATGAAATTAGACTAACAGCTGCACATTTAAAATTTCAACAGAAGAATTTGTATCCTTGCGTGTGTGTAAATAAAGTTGACAAAGTAGCTGATAGTTCACCAACATCAGTGAGAGAGCAAGGAAAAAAAAAAAAAAATAATGGTAGAGATGACTAATATGGGTATTAAAAACTTTTATTTAAAACACATATCAGCCATCTCTACTATATATACAACCTGGAAATGCTGTGATATATGAAAACAAAAGCAGGATCTGAGACAAGAAATTACTTAAAACTGAAAACTAACAAAAGCAACACATATAAGGTAACAATTTTTTTTTTACAAATATCAAAAAAGAAAAAAAGCCACACTTGTAACCTGAGAACAAATGGCTGGACTAGACAACTGATACAGAAAAAAACTTTTTTATGCATATTATTGTGAACCAGTAGCTAACTTACTATAATGTAGAAGTGATTTTAGGTGTTTAATACAAATTGCATACTTAAATGTGTCCAGAAACAGTGATAACAAAGACATTTCAAAATGATTAAATAAACCTGCTGTACTTTGTTTTACTGGAACTACCAGATGTATGAACAATCCTTTTTTAAAGGACTTCTATAGATTAAAGCCAAATAAAATTCTAACTCTATCGTCTTATACCTTGTCTACCCCAAACCTTACTTAGGTTTCACATTAGTACTACTTATTAATCATAAAGTATCAACAATTTTCATACTTAACTTTCTTTCTACGCATGATAATTTTTACTTACTCTTAAATGTAGCAAGTGGCTTAAAATTTCCCTCATCTGTATTAAAATTTTTTTAAAGGGAACATTTCACAGTAGTGGCTATTATGTTTTTCAGTTGTAAATAAATTTGTATTTATGATAAAAGTTTGTTTTTTTATTAGCTGCTGTTAACTGTTACATAATTATGACTGAGAGTGTAACAAAACGAAGGTTCTCTTTTGCCATTTCAAATAAATTCACCATGTCAGTTTCTACAGTGCTAGAAGTATACACAAATATGCTTATGGAAAGTGGAACACACAAAAAATACCATATCCAGTATTCTAGCTCAAGCTAATTTTCATCCACAAACACAGTATACCTCTTGTTCACAATATTCTTCCATATTTCTGAATAACACGGGTTACTAATACAGTCCTGTGCATATTTCCATGTTGAGATTGGCACTGCAATAGGTTGTTCCTAAACAGTAAAATATTATTACAATAAAACAAAATAGAAAATTGACACAGATCTTTGAAAATTGGGAAAAACCTAAAATATAATCTATCATTCTTTCAAAACTTACTTGTTTACTCTGTTTTAATACAGATCTAAGATCATGAAAAAAACTTTGCTTAATAATATTCTCAAATAACTAGTGACTTAAAATTTAGCATATGAATACCTAAAAATTCTATCAGAATATTACTTAGCTAAGTTGTTCAGGACCAATTTCCACCGTCTCTTGTACACTTGGAACTTCAACACTTGATTCCACCAAAACAGCAGGAGCCTCAATAACCTGCTGAGCTTCTCCAACTTCAAGCGTTTCCATGTCTTCACCTTCACATGAATGATACCGTAACTTATGTGTCCGTACAGCTCCACTCTGAGCAAACTGTTTACTACAAATACCACACTTGTACGGTTTCTCTCCAGAGTGAATTCGGTAATGGATCTTCAGATCATGAGGCCAAGTATAAATTTTGCCACAAATTGGGCAAGGAAAGATCTTCCAAGTTCTGCTTATCTGATTAGAAGGATCTCCATCAATGTTATTTGTATCCTCTTTAGAAAACATTGGAGGTCCAGGTTTCAGTTCATCAGTTGAACTGTATGAGTGGTCTGGGGTTTTTACAATGTCTGAAGCATTAGAAAAAGTTTTCAAGGTCTGTGAAGTATCTTTTGGCCAAGGTATGATCATTTCAAAGTCTGTTTCTCCAAAAATAACATCATCAATACCATTAGAAGCAGCTTCTTGAAGGATAGCACAATGGTGACTAAACAACTTTTTAGAATTCACAAAATCCTGACCACATTTTCCACAATGATACATTTGATCTGGAGCATGTTTTGCCATGTGTCGTTTTAAATTGCCTATCTGAGAGAAGGCTCTTGTACAGACAGGACACTTGAAAGGTTGCTCTCCTGTATGGGTACGGGAGTGGTTACGCAATGTTGATTCATGTGCAAAACCTTGGCCACACTCAGAGCAGATGAATGGTCTATTAGAAATATGTTTCGAAAGATGACGTTTCAGGTTCCCAATCTGTGCAAATCTTTTCTGGCAGAAGTTACAGAGGTAAGGGGCTTCACCAGTGTGGGTACGAATGTGATTTCTTAAAGTTGCTGGGTCAGTAAAACCTTTTCCACAAAATTTACACTTATGGGGTCGCTGTCCTCTATGAGCATTTAAATGACGTTGCAGATTTCCTATTTGACTGAAGGCACGATGACATTGTGGGCATTGAAAGGGTAAGTCTTCAGTGTGTAAACGCATGTGATTGACAATAGCATCCCCACTAGAAAACCTCTTTAAACAGATATAACAGTGATATGGTTGTAGTTCATGAACACCATGTATGGCTAGTTTATGATGTTTTAAGTCCCCAGCTTCAATAAATGTCTGTCCACAATCAAAACATAGGAACTCATTGTCTTTGAGGTGCGTACGATAATGAATGAGGAATGAGGTTTCATTTACAAGTATATTGCTACATATTTGACAACAATAATAGCCTGTGTACAGTTTCCTAACATGTTCCTCTTTGTGGGTTGTATATTTGGTACAATCAACAACTTTCCTACACAAGCCACATTTTGTGGAAACAGAATGGTTGATGAGAAACTCTTGGCTACTGATAAAAGTAAGATTGCAGTTTTCACAAAGCACATAGAATCGAGTGTTGGTTGTTGAAGACACATGCAAAAATACTTGTGGCGAGTACAGTTCAGTGACAGCTTCATGTGATGCTGGATCAAGAACTTTCACATTTTGCGACAAAATTACAACAGCTTTATGAATGCAGGTGTCATTACTATTATCATTAATTACTAAAGTTTTTCCTTTTGGTTTCACATCTCTCTGTTTTTCTGAGTTAAGATACTCTGCAGAAAGATTACTATTCAAAGAAATGTTTTTTGTTCTTTGTATACTGTCTGAGTTGGAAAGTATCCGCCCTTGCTCACGACATCTTAAATTACCAGCTAAAAACTCAATGACATCTTCTTCCTTACGCTCAGTATCATGAGAAGCAACATGTTCACAAAGTTCATATTCTTCTGTAAATGTTTCTGGACAGTAGCTACATCTAAGAACTTCTTTTTTGGTGTTAATCATTGACATTGTACTATTTTCATTGTACGACTGCTTAACAAACCCCAACTTTTCAGCTGTGAAGATTTTTTCAGGCATCAATGTTGTAACTGACCCTAACAATTCCAAATTTTCTATGTATTCTTCTTTCAAATTGACAGTAACCTCATTTACTAAAGCTTCATTATATTTATACTGAGAATGCTTTGCATCTGCCGTTGCAATAAATAATTCTAAATCTTCTATATTATGTTTGGAAGCAGTGTGTCTGTTTAAATCTAACTTATTCTTGAATGTGTCTTTGCAAATACAACAGGTTAAAGTTTTAGTACAGCTCTGCTGATGTAGGTGAAGACCTTTTGAGGTGAACATTTGGAGACAACGAGGACATGAGAAAAATATTGGACACTGTCGAGATGATGTAATTCCCAAATCCTCATCTTCTAGTGATTGTCTGGTATCATTTTGAGTGTTCTCCATTCCATAAATTGCTGTATCAGCTGTACTTACTTTAAGTGTTTTTTCCCATTCACCAAATGTTTCTTAGTATCTTTATAAAAATAATAAAAACACATTTAAGAAACTTGTCTGCTTTTTTAACATACACACACATTCATATAATGTTTAAGATAATAGTTTTTTTACATTTCTTTCACATATTACATTAAATCTCACTCAGTTTCATATGTAATTTGCCAATCTTATTTTTACTGTCAAATATGTATATACAAATAAGCTTTCTCTCTCTCACAAATTGGGGAAAAACAAACATAAATAATAACCCAAACTCCTCTGTTAGTATTGTTATTCATCCAAACAGTTTATCTGTATATGTTTATTATAACATCATCAGAACAATACCCTCTCAAGGTTCCACTTGTTAAGCCTGACACTTTTCTCGCAATTTCAGAACTTAATGTAAGCCATGCTTAGTTTATATAACACGAGTACCCCACTGTAAGAAAAATACACAAAGCTAAAAATTCTATTATTACTTAACAACAAACACTATTTCATGAAATGTTGTGTGTTCAGTAGCCTAGGCTAAACATCTATAAAAAAAAAAATAAACTTCTATATTTGAATTTTCAGAATAATATGAAGCTAAAGCAAAAATTTACAAAACTAAATCTTAATATATATATACATACATATATATATAGCTTTTTGGAAACTGACTTAATAAATTATCTCCTTAATAGTAATAAAATCTAAGACACTAGCTATTTTCAATAAATTCTAAAATTTCAGATTGATTTCTCAATTAGTAACAGTTACAACTTTTCTTACATAAAGGGGTAATAGAATTTCAAAATTTTACATTAACATCTCAAATATTAACAGCTAACACACTGGTGTTGATCCAATGGCCCGATCCCTTATTGGAGAAGGAATGTTGACCATAATTCCAAATTTACCATGCATATCTATACAAACTTTTAGTAATATGTACAAGTATGTTGTACACAAAAGTTCAGATATGTCAATAAAGTTTTGTACTATAGGTATGTCTTGAATGGCCAATATCAGCCTGAATTAGGCTCTGACAAGTTGGAATGCAAGCTTTTGTTCACCATACAGTTTGCATATTGCATGTGTGTTTTCTCATAGCAAAGCCACATTGGGCTATTTGCCGTGTCCACCAAAGGGAATCAACCCCCTGATAGTAGCATTGCAAATCCAAAGACTTACTACTATCCCACCGGGAGACTTGCATATTGCATTTAGATAACTACTAGAACCTACAAAATGCATACCCGCATCCACATCTATCGGTATTTATCTTCCTCTACCATAAAATGTCATTCAATTAAATTAATGTCATTTTGTGTAAAATAATTAGTTAATAACTCTTAATATCAAAAATATACCTCGTTGAATGGAACTCTGTAAAATTAATTGCATGTGCATTTTGAATTTTAACCGTGCACATAGGTTTAATGCCTCTCAAAGTTGTAGAATGGAGGTGGGGAACATACTTTCTAAAACATCTATAACATGTCCCATATCCAAGTGTTCTGATTAGATCTTGTGTCAATCTGTTTGATGTTTTTACCAATGGTTGGTATGGTTCAAGTGATTACAAATTTAAAGTACTTTTACTGTTTGGATTACAGACTTATTCTCAATAGCTTGTAATATGGTATTTCATTCAAAAGCACATTCGTTTGCTTCTAGCACCCGTTTTAACTCTATAATGTCATAGGACCTTTCTATTTTTACATATAGTAAACTTATATGAATAGATCGATTAGGAAAAGCACAAAACAAGAGAATGTTAAAAGGTAGACAGTGATTTCCAGCCACTGGCCAGCATCAATTAGTGGCAATGCTTTTGCTGGTCCACAGTAACATCCAGTGAAAGTACAATTACTTCTAAATAAACATTCATACTGTTAAAATCCTAAATTTGTTTTTACAGACCTGTTCATGATTATCTATATTCTGTGCACTTCATATTTGTAAATTATACATTGTATTAAAAGTCTATGCATATGTATTTCTAACTGTTTAAGCTTTTTACAAAGATTTTGTCAGTCTGTAAACCGAAACAGGTTGAGGACCACTGCTCTAGTAAATACTGACATTCAAACATGGACAGTTAAAGAATCTACCTTAAAATCAGCTGTGATTTTGGGCATGTAGGGAAAGTGAAAGGTATGTGATGTTTGTTTTTCTGAAAAACAGTTATCTCAAGCATTAAGTCCATTTAGTTTCATTAACTTTCCATCACTCCCCCTATTGGATAAAGTTACAAAAGACCAATTTAAACTTACATTCATATATTGAGTTTCTCATATACTAGCAAATTAATTTTCACAGTAAAAAATAAAAAAATGTTAGCCTCAAACAAAATGTTTTTAATTACAATAAATGCAAGGTAATTCATATGGGTTATTACAGATTGAGTTACAATTCTAAAGAGAATAATCTTAACAGTGTTATGGAAAAAATATATCTTGGTGTAATAATCAATCAGTCTTAAGCCAAGTTGCTAGTGATAGATCAAATAGGATTTTGGGTTGTATCTACAGAAATATTGAATACAAGAGGTTATAATTTCATTGTATTGGTCAGCTTGGAGTATTATTTTCAGTCTTGGGCTCCTATCTTAGGAAGGACATTGGATTGCTATAAAAGAATTCAGGACTACTACGATGATACATAGGACACAAAAGTTATCTGAGTGAGGTGTTTAAGAGTGTTAAAGGAATTGACAGTGTTGATGCATATCTTTTTTTGGTACTTAATTAATGGCAAGATTAGTAGAACAATGGGACATAAATATAAATTTTGGCAAGGTAGGAGATACTGTCAGCTATGACAGTTTTATTTTCTAAAAAGATAGTAGCATTCAGATGTGTTGGAAGTAGTAAATTTAAATGAAGGCTTGATAAATTTTTGAATGATAAGAGCTGACCGTGACCTATTTTTATAAGTTTAGTTCTGTGAATGGGATTGCCTAGATGGACCACCAGGTTCCTTGCTGTCCTTAAATTTCATACTATGTGCAATGCATAAAACAATTAAAGGATAGTTAAACTTTAATAATGATTGTAATAGTGATTAAACACTTGTCATTCATAATACTTTTTTAATTTTTCTAAAGCAAAATACTTTCTATTCTCCCTTGAAACTAATGGAAAACAAGTGTAACTAATAATAAAAGAAATAGTGGAGATTAAATATTTATGGATCATTTTCACACACTGTACAGCTGTATAATAAATACTGTATGCAACCACATCAGAAGGGAAACATAAAAATAATTGTAATATATGAATCTGCTACTGTGTACTACACAATATGGCACCAAACAAGTTACTGATACTCATGTAAAGTTACTCCAATTACAGTTTCATTTGCATCATATTTGACTTGCCAATACTTAGATAATCATACATTTACAAAATCATATAATTCAACTACTTCAATAGTAACTTTTACAGGTCATGTTTATGGTCCTTTTTCCAGATATTTGTTGGTCATTTGAAAAACATGATTAGTTTATTGCACAAACACTTCCAAAATTAGCATTTTTTATAAGGTACTTTTGTCTAAAGCTAACTTTCTGTTAGTAACTAATCCAAGCTCTGAATTGGTCACTCATCTCATGTTCACAAATGAACATTTGTTGAAGATTGCTTTACATTTCCCTTGATTACCATGAAAGACAAGTACATCATGGTACAGACGCTGCATACCTAAAAATAGTGTTGATAAGGTCCACAAATATGCACAGCCACTCCTCTGAAAGATTTTCCAAGGCATATTTGTTTTTGTCTGAAGTCACTGTGTAGCATGTCTTAAAAGAATTTCATACAAAAAGTACAGAAAAAAATTCATGTTGATCAATCTCACCATCTTCAAAGAATGTACCAACTAGTTCAGAACAGTGGGCATTGGTATAATCTATTATGGTAAAGTAAGGGATATGTGGCAGCTCAAAGATACTGGATGTAGTCATCATAATACATAGTTAATGGTTTGAGTACCATTTCATCCTTGTCCATACAATATTTGCCTCACTGTGAAGTGTGTCATGCTTATATATGAAAATGAGATCTTCCCTTGTTATTTCTATACCAACTCAAACTGTAATTACCTTTAATTGTTTTGTAAGTGTGTATATGCATAATATTTATTACACTTAGTAAAATTACTATTTTCAGAAACACAAAGAGGTTAATGGCTAAAAAATGGAATAGTTTAATATTTCTATGGCTTTTCTTCTTCTTGACCACTGACTTTACAATTTTTAAGAAATTTGAAAACAAATGATGACATGATAACTATTCTATTGAAAGAATCTGAGCGTCCAAGAGCTAGTTCATCAAAAGATTAACAACTATATAGACTTCATGAAAGGTACTATAAGATTTTATCTAACCAAAGAAACTCTACTACCTTGAAGATAAACATTCATTTTCTTACTAATAAAAGAAAAAACTGTAAAGTTGTTTCAATAAACAATTGAACTAAGTTATAATAAGCAAGAGGAAACTCCAAGTAACCATCAGGAAGGGTTAAAAGTGAAAATTATTTTCTGATTGATACGAGTCTCAGAACATAGCAAACACTTATGATACAACAATAAAAAAAGTAAAAGAAGCAAGAATTCACAAATGAAAGACTAAATCCCTTTGAACAGATGATAAATTAGCAATGAGCAGAAAGTGAAACAAAAGAGAAAAGCATTTGGCTAACATAGTAGAACATATGATTATAAAAAACAGACCTGGGATTAAAAAGTCATATTGGATGACAATAAATCACTACAAAACTTTATTCAATAAGATTCATTTGCTATGATAAAAAAAACAGGGAAAAGGCTGAGCAAGGCTTATCCAAATGGGCAGTCTGAAAAGATGAGATAATTTTATTCAAAGTGAAAGAAGAGTCCCAAAGAGATATGGAGTTGCATGGCATAGAAAAATAATAATTATTTAATAATTTAGTGACTGAAGCCATTTTTTAAGGGTATGCAAAACTAACAACTTTAAATCAATAGACTAGTATTCATAAAGTTTTGTTAAACGATAAAAAAGGATAAAGACAACTGGTACATGCAAAATTGGCTAATTTGAGTCCACAATTCTTTATGTATTAAGTTACAAAAACAAATAAAAAATTTGGTTACTGATAGTTTTTTCTGATGTCCTGCAAAAGTATGCAATGCATTAGAAACAACAAAATTCTGACAGGGTATCAAATAACTGTCGTCAGCTAAATAGATCTTAAAATTCCTTGCTTAACAGAGAAGAGGAATCATTGAGTTGATAAAATCATGAGTCACAAAGAAAAAACAATTGATAAATCCATAAACATAACTCCTGCAAATTAACAAGTTGCAGAGAAAGGTGGATGAGTGTATCAATTTCTCAATTTTTGTTATTTTTCACACTTACCATATTACCAAATTAATTATATTTTAACAATATACACTTTCATTAAAATTTATATTTAACTGTCTTCCAAAATGTAATTAGCTACAATAACACAAAATAATCAGTGAAACCATTTAGACATGTCCAGAAGTGTTTCAAAATGATAGATCTTACAAAGGAAAATGTTAAGATGTGAATAGGGCCTTTGAGGGATGATACAGAAAGGTTAGTACCTGAGAATTATGGGATGGCAGGTTTACTACATTTTACTTTTTCTTCTGTTTTTACTCATGAAAATTTAAGAAATACTCTTTATCCCAAACAGTTACTAGATGAAAGCAATAATGAACAAGATAATCACATAAACTTTGAGCTTGTTAAGAAAAAATTTTGAAGTTTAAAGAATGATAAAGCTCCTGGCACAAATAATATTTACCAAAGAGTTTTGAAAGAAGTTAAAGATTGGATATGTGAGCCACTTGTTACTATTTTTTTTGTACATTCTTGAAAAGTGGGCAGGTGCCAAAAGATTGGAAGTTAACTTATTTTATTTCTGTTTTCAAGAGAGGTGATAAAAACTGTCTAAGTAATTAGAAACTTATTAGTTTACATCACTGATGGGAATAGTTTTTGAATGTCTGATAAAAGATGCTCTGCAAAGTTATTTGAGAAAGTTTAAAATTTTGTTGGATAGTCAGAATGGTTTCATTACAAGAAAATCTTGCCTTATTAATCTTCTGAAATTCTTTGAAGAGGCCACTGCTTACGTAGATAAGGGTATTGTTGTAGGTTTGGTGTATCTGGATTTTCAGAAAGCATATGACCAGGTACTACATAAAAGGCTTGTTATAAAAGTTATCTCTATAGGTGAAAAGGATAGGTTGATTCATCAGGTAGAAAATTGGCTAGATGGGAGAAAGCAAAGAGTTGTTACAAATGGAATTCAGTCAAACTGGATTAGTGTCACAAGTAGAGTATCTCAGAGCTTTGTGTTAGAACATTTTCCTTATTTTGATTTACAACAATGACATAGATGATGGAATGATCAATAGATTATTCAAATTTGTTGATGACATTAAAGTTTTGGGTGTTACTGGCTATGAAGAGGATGCTACTGCTCTATACGACTATTTAGATTATTTGGCAAGTTGGCCAAATAAATGGCAGATGACTTTTGATTATAATAAATACAAGATGATGCTTGTGAAATATTACAATTTAAATTATAAATACACTTTTGATGGGAATAATTTCAACAGTGTTATGGAGAACATATATCTTAGTGTAATGGTTGATAAGTCTTACATCATCCAAGCAATATACTATTCCTAGTGGCAGGACAAAAAGTATTTTATTTTGTATCTACAGAAATATTGAATACAAGAGGTTGTAATGTCACTGTATAGATCAATGGTTAGACTGCATCTAGAGTACTGTGTTCAGCTGCTTACGTTAGAAAAGACATTAAGTTATTGGAAAGGGTTCAGAGGAAGACTACTAGAATGATACCTTAGATGGAAAGGTTATTATACAAGGATATGTTAAGATCTCTGAAAATTTCTCTAGAAAAAAGAAGAGTTGGAAGAGATCTGATTGAGGTGTTTAAGATTATCATATTTAATGGTGAGAATGGTAAGACTAGGTGACATAAGTATAAATATGGTAGGGTAGGAGTCATCTTTGGCTAAGACCTATATTTTTCTAAGAGAGTGGTTGACCTTTGGAACAAGTTGCCTTTAGATGTAGTAGATTCAGTTAAATTAAGGGAAAGCATGATTTATATTTCAATGATAATATATAGACAGAGAGAGATGTGGGCTGCCTTGGTTTTTTCATATTTAGTTGATAAAATGGCCAGAAAGGACTCTTGTTGTTCTTTAATGTTAAAACTATTTTTAAAACTTTTATTTAACACATTTTCTGTGAACTGTTTTTGCTATACAACATAATTTTGAAGAATAAAAAATACAACAGCTACATGTTATTTTCTATGTGGGTTTCTTTGTGTTCTAAAAGTAAATAATTTTTCTTCAAAATGCATGGCTATGTGCAAAGCTTGAGAGAGTTATACTTATACTTGTAGTGAATTTTATAGTTATACTCATAGTCATACACGGCGGGAGACTACGATTGGTATGTAATAATTAGCACCATTAAGATTTTATTATTTACGAGCGTGTAGTTGTTATTTGTATTTGTAACATACAAAACACTTTAACTTAAGTTTACGTCGACACCTCAATTTGCATTAGATTTATTACAGTAATTAGTATATTATATTTAAAATTATATTTATATCGTTATCACTGTAGGCTATAGTATAGTGTAGTATAATTTTAATTGCTTAAATCTTATAAAAACAAACATTAATGAAAAACATTCTACTAAATATTATAGCTAAACACTAAAATACGTATATTTTCTATTTTCAAACTCAAAGTACTCTCTCCTGTACAGGATTTAAATTAAAACGATATTTATAGTTCCAAACGCTTAAATCACAGTGTAGCCGCCATGTTGGAACTGAAACTAGTCTGAAGCACAATAATTGCGAAATCAACCTAAAAACTTAAAAAAAGGGATTAAACTTTTATGTAAAAAACGAAAAGAGTAATATAATATATTTGTTTTTACAGTTGCATATCATTAAATGTAATACGAAAACTGCAAAATTTTTCGGTGCTTTTATTTTAGACTGGTTACGAAAACCAAAACCAACATACTAACCGATACACATTCTCCAACTTCCCTCCTACGCTACTAAAAAGAGAAAGAATTTTAGTCGCTTTGTGGGTTTCGGTTATCTGAACAAAGCGACATCTTTTAATCAAGATGTTGGTAATTTCAAATATTCATATTTAAATATTTGAACATTCCTGGTTTTGGATTCCTAAACATTTTTCATAGCTAACTTTATGGATAAAAGTAACTGAATTGTCTTTTATTCATTTCTAAATAAACATCTAGAAATAAAGAAATGGAAATAAATGTATCGTGTGAATTTTAAATAGTTTGGTTTAGAGGGAGCAATACAATGGAGATTCGCGTTAATATTTAACTTAAAGAAAATGCTCTGTCTATCTGTATCGCCCCCAGTGGCTTAGCGGTAAATTTGTATTATTATAACACTTAAAATCGGATTTCGACAGCCGTGGTGGGCACACAACAAATAGCCTATTGTATAGCTTTGTGCTTAACTACAAACAAACTATCTGTATTTTAAAATACGTCATTAAACATCCATTATTTTAAGATCTCCCCTCTGAACTAATTTTAACCGTAATTTATGAACATTTATTTCCTCAAAATAAGTAAGTTGACACATAAACTCTCATTAACTCAAAAATATTTTGACCATTCAAATATATTTTCAGGGGGATGATTAATATCATCATATTTCACTTTTCCATAACTAGCGTAGTAAATATCTTTATTCATATATAGTTGGTC